GTGGTGCCCAGAATTGGACACAATATTCCAGGTGTGGTCTAACCAAAGCAGAATAGAGGGGTAGCATTACTTCCTTAGATCTAGACACTATGCTCCTATTGATGCAGGCCAAAATCCCATTGGCTTTTTTTGCCGCCACATCACATTGTTGGCTCATGTTTAACTTGTTGTCCACGAGGACTCCAAGATCGTTTTCACACGTACTGCTCTCGAGCCAGGCGTCACCCATTCTGTATCTTTGCATTTCATTTTTTCTGCCAAAGTGGAGTATCTTGCATTTGTCACTGTTGAACTTCATTTTGTTAGTTTTGGCCCATCTCTCTAATCTGTCAAGATCGTTTTGAATTCTGCTCCTGTCCTCTGGAGCATTGGCTATCCCTCCCAATTTGGTGTCGTCTGCAAACTTGATGATCATGCCTTCTAGCCCTAATTACACCATTACACAATAAAACCAGGGCCGGGCCAGTGATGGGTACAGGTTAAAAAGTGCTGGGTGTGGCTGGTGGTATGTTGGATTTTTGGGCAAGTGCAATGTGCAGAGAGTCTTAAACTCTAATAAAGCGCTTCTAGGACATAGAGCTGGGGGTTATCCTATTCCGGAAAGGCACATCGGAGTAGCCAGGTCTTCAAGTTCTTTCTAAAGACTGTCAACGTGGGTGCTAGTCTAATGTTTTTGGGGAGGGTGTTCCAGAGTCGGGGGGCAATCACAGAGAAGTCCCTGTCCCTCGTCCCCACCAAACGCGCCTGCGACGCAGGTGGGATCGCGAGCAGGGCCTCTCTGGATGAACGAAGGGAGCACGTGGCTTCGTGAACGGAGATGCGGTCACGCAGGTAGGCAGGTCCCAAACCGTTTAGGGCTTTGTAGGTAAGCACCTGCACCTTGAATTGGGTTCGGTAGGTAAACAGCAGCCAATGGAGCTCCTTAAACAGGAGGGTTGACCTCTCTGTAAATTTAGGTGCCTCTGCTTATATTCAGGTCGGCTTATACTCGACTATATATGGTACTTTCAATAAAAATTATTTTTTAAAAAACAACACCGCTCTTCCTACATCGTAGCTCTTCTGCATTGATTATTGAAACAAGTGGTAAATCTGAGTTGGAGGCTGGATTGGCCTTTGATATTTATTTATTTTTAATATCAAAAGCATTGCATAATTTAGCATAAAACTGATAAAAATAGAAGGAGCGCAGGCAGCTAAATATCTTTTGACCAAAAATGGGCAACAGCAATGGCATTGTCTGTAGCCTCCGATAATTCTTTCTCTGCCTTTGATCAGAACCATAGTCAGTACTCTGCCATATATGTATTAGAGACCCTTTTGACTTGGAATGGCTTGCCTGCAACACACTGTAAGCAAGAGGCATGAAAATAGCAGCGTCTAGGCCTCATTCTCATGGTAAGTGGATCCAATGAAAATTAAGTCTAGTGAAAGCCAGAATGCGGATTCTCTTGCCTTTACTTTGACTCACATTCAAAGGTGATGGGTTTCAATCTATGGGAATAAAATCCTGGCCAGAAAAAGTGACTCAGTCACCATTGACTGTAAATACATTTGGATTCCCAGGGGCAGGAAATCAGCCTCCAAATGAAGGTCAGCCAAAGGAAGAGGCTTCCTGTCACTTTAAGGATCCAGCCAAAGCCGACCCGTTGAAGGCATATTTGGGCCTTCCTTTTGGGAAATGCCTTCTATTAAGGATTAAATAGTCTTGTTATTATATTCTATTAACTGTGTCTCTCTCTGAGTGTATCTCAGTCTCAATCCTCACCAGATACTGCTTTCAGAGGCAGGATTGTGAGCCCAGCGCTCAGTAAACTGACTGGAAATGCGATTACGCTGTCTCCGTCAAGTCTTTTAGATGGATGTTCTTCAAGCAAATCCAATTGTAACGTTTTCTCTTTTTTTCCGTCTTTCAACTGGAACGGTGTCGTTTCCTGCCTATTGATTGATTGATCGGTACCTGGCCCTCATTGCTTTTTCTTCAGTTAATGCTCATTGATGGGGTTTAATGCTTATTCCTGGAACTGCCTCCCGTTTCATAGACCTGTCGCCATTGAGCATTGAGCGTCATGCATTAAAGTCCATTTCTATGTCCGCTGGTTGTCTGTTGTGCCTTGTCAGAGCCCCGTTTGCCATCGCAACGATTATAACAGCAGAGGAAATCCAAATTATTCCTGGAAATCCACATTATTTATAGTCTGGCCGTGTTCTCTGACCAAGATTTCTCCCATAGATCTACACCCATCACATTCAGTACCTTATGGCGGAGGCAGGGAAGCCATTCCAACGCCAAAAGGACTCTACTCCCTATTTGGCTGCGTGTTTTTGAATGCATTTCCTCGCCAATAGCTTTGGGTGTCTTGTACTGACCTTGTTTATATCAGATGGGATTGTGTGCCTTTGGTTCATTTAGGCCTTTCATACATGTCACATTAGAATGATAAAAGGCTGCATGGGGGAGAGAAAAGCAGCAGATGATGATAATAATTATTATTTTATTTTTTATCCTCCTCTCCTTGTGGCTCAATGTGGAGTACAGCACAATTAAAATTTATTTATTGTGTCAGGGGCAGACCAAACAAATTGTATTGCATTTTTTAACAAGCAAACAAACAGAACACAAAGTTTGCAAGCTTGATAGTTGAATAAATGTCCTTTGACCAGTGTCTGGCCACTTGTAGTGCCTCTAGTGTTGCCACAAGAAGGTCCTCCATTGTGCATTGGGGTCAGGTTGCATTGCAGCAGGTGGTCTGTGGTTTGCTCTTCTCCACACTCGCATGTCGTGGATTCCACTTTGTAGCCCCATTTCTTAAGGTTGGCTCTGCATCTCGTGGTGCCAGAGCGCAGTCTGTTCAGCACCTTCCAAGTTGCCCAGTTTTCTGTGTGCCCAGGAGGGAGTCTCTCATTTGGTATCAGCCATTGATTGAAGTTCTGGGTTTGAGCCTGCCACTTTTGGATTCTTGCTTGCTGAGGTGTTCCAGCGAGTGTCTCTGTAGATCTTAGGAAACTATTTCTTGATTTAAGTCATTGATGTGCTGGCTGTTATCCAAACGGGATGAGCTGGAGATGTCACTGCCTTGGTCCTTTCACTATTGGTTGCTACTTCCCGGCGGATGTCAGGTGGTGCAATACCGGCTAAACAGTGTGATTTCTCCAGTGGTGTAGGGCGCAGACACCCAGTGATAATGCGGCATACAATTAAAATACAGAGGTGAAACATAAGGTGGTTAAAATACTTACACTATTCATGCAAACCTTTTTTGGCTAAATTACTCTGCCAAAATTAGGGTGTGCATTAAATTCGCATCATAGGTAAAGGTAAAGGTTTTCCCCTGACATGAAGTCCAGCCATGTCTGACTCTGGGGGTTGGTGCTCATCTCCATTTCTAAGCTAAAGAGCCGGCATTGTCTGTAGACACCTCCAAGATCATGTGGCCGACATGATTGCATGGAGCGCCATTACCTTCCCGCTGGAGTAGTACCTATTGATCTACTCACATTTGTATGTTTTCGAACTGCTAGGTTGGGCAGAAGCTGGAGCTAACAGCAGGAGCTCACCCCTCTCCCCGGATTCGAATCTGCAACCTTTCAATCAGCAAGTTCAGCAGCTCAGCAGTTTAATCCACTGTGCCACCGGGGTCTCCAGTAATTCACATCATACAGTAATCTCAATGCTGAGCCAAAGCCAAAGGGGAAGCTGATGCACGAGCTCCTCTTTAAGGGACCTCCTCTCATTTAATGACTCAATGCTATAGAATGCTGGGATTTGTTGTTTAGAAGAGAAGACTTAAGACCATGCAAAATTACATCCCCCACGACTCCATAGCATTGAACCAAGGCAATTTAAATAGATTTGTTTTACAGCATAGATCCGTCCCAAGGTTTTCCTTTCCATTGCTGGAAGCTTTGGTGTCTTAACACTTTTGTTTTAAAAGAAGGCATTCTAGGTTGGCAGAAACTGCAAGGCACACCTTTTTTTTTTTGTGGCTAAATGACAAAGATCTCTTTGCATCTGCACATTATATTCCGCTTTATCTCTCTCTCAAAGTAGGATACAAATAATAATATCAATAATAATATGCAATACAATTTTTTAAAACCTAAAAATATACAGACATTAACACGGAATTAAATTATTTCACTTCGTCTTAAAAAAATATGTGCAGCAAAACCTCTTTTTTTTTTTTTTTTGGTTTCAGGGTTTTAAAAAAAGGAGGTGCACATTAGATTCAATGGTGCATTGGACTCTAGTAAATACGGGTATATTAAAAGACCTAGGGCAAATACTAACACACATTGAAAGCTAAGGCAGACTCGTCTCAGTATGAGGAACTCGTCCCAGTATGAGGAACGTTTTTTGCTCAGGTTTGGAGTTTGTTTCCCAAATGGCAATGGAGGGGATGCAACCTACTGTATCAAATGCATGCATAGAATGATGGAGTTGGAAGAAACCTCGTGGGCCATCCAATCCAACCCCCTGCCAAGAAGCAGGAAAATCTCATTCAAAGCACCTTCGACAGATGGCCATCCAGCCTCTGTTTAAAAGCCTCCAAAGGCTGTAAACCTTGAGGGCAAAAATGTGAGGTTGCAGTCTTTGAACACATTTTATTTGAGGAAATACAATTGTGAGAGGAGACATGAGAGCCATGTTTCAATATCTGAAAGGATGTCATAAGGAAGAGAAAGCAGGCCTTGTTTTCTGTTTTTCTGGAGACCAGGACTCAGTGAAGCAATAGGTTCAATTGGCAGGAAAGAGATTCTACCTGAACATTAGAAAGAACTTAGATCTGTTCAGCAGTGGAACTCTCTATCTAGAGTCCAGTGGAAGCTCCCTCTTTGGAGGTATTTAAGCAGAAACTAGATGGCCCTCTGTCAGGGGTGTTTTGTGCTTTTCCTGCATGAAGGCAGAAGGGAGTTGGACTCTCTTCCAACCCTAGGAGTCTATGATTCTTTTGCAAGATCCAACTCATCTTTTCCTCCTTCCTGTTTTTCCTTTCCAGACAACAGTGACTTAATTGCCTGCACTGTGATCACCAAAGACGGGGGTCCGGCCCAGAGGTTCCTGGCAGTGGATATCTACCAGATGAGTCTGGTGGAACCGGACGTGGCCCGATTAGGGTGGGGAGTGGTCAAGTTCGCCGGCCTTCTCCAGGTGAGCATCAAGGGATCAAGGCAGTGTCTACGGGCTGCCCCAAGTTACAAACATCAAGAGAAATCTACCCCTCAGAAGGGAAATTTACCCCTGAAAGAGTTATTATCATGGGGAGAAGGGATCTCCACTGAAGATTTATATTCATTCCTTGTTTCCACAACAAGCCACGTTTTCCAAAATCCAGTTCTCACAGGAACAGAAAGTGGGATGAAATCATCTGAACAGGGGCACAGATAGCAAAGGAAACACCACAGGGTGTTCACCCTTCCCTATGCTTTCAAAGTCACTTAAAACAAGTACCTGTTCCAATTTACTGTATGTATTTGAATATAAGCCAAGTTTTTCAGCCCTTTTTTAGGCTGAAAAGGCCCCCCTCAGATTATACGTGAGTCAAAGTTATTTATTATTTTACTTTATTATTATTATTATTATTACATTTATTTTTACTCTCTTTATTATTATTACATTTACATTATTTTACTCTATTATTATTTTTATTACATGTATTATTTTACTCTATTATTATTACAAATATATTATTACGCTTATTATTTTACTCTATTATTACTGTTATTATTGCACTTTCATTATTCCCTATGTGATTCAAAGCTAAAAGACATATATATTTGGCTGGAGTTGCACCGGGTACTCATGATGGATATACAAATATTCCAGCATCCAAAACAAAGTCTGATCCCGGGCATTTTAGATAAGGGATTTGAAACCTAGGCCTTTCGGTTAAGGGATGTTCAACCAGTGATGATGGTAAACATGATGCAGAACCGGAGCTGCCCTAAAGCAGTGGATCACCGGATCTCTCTTTTCTCGGTCCCTCTCCCTTTTGCTGCAGGACATGCAAGTGACTGGAGTGGAGGATGACAGCCGGGCCCTGAACATCGTCATCCACAAGCCGGCGTCCAGCCCTCACTCCAAGCCCTTCCCCATCCTCCAGGCCACCTTCATCTTCTCGGACCACATCCGCTGCATCATCGCCAAGCAGCGCCTGGCCAAGGGCCGCATCCAGGCCCGACGCATGAAGATGCAGAGAATCGCAGGTAAGGAGAACCACTTCCTTTCTTACTGCGTTTGCGTCACTCATTGACAGATAGCTCTCGCATCAAAAGAGTGCAGCAGAGTCTGTAAACAGGAAGTGGGTGGTGCAATAAGTGTCTACAAAAAAGCCATGGCAACTCCTCCGTTTATATGCGCAACTCTGTGTGCGTGTCTACGAAACATCCCAGGAAAATATTTCCCGGGGAAGCCATCTGTCCATGACACATCCCTTGCCTTGTGGCTGAGTCTCCGGCGTTATCTACTGATATATTGCCTTTTCCAAGGAATGCTTCTCACTTGAGGGTTTACTTCCAAACAAACTCTATTCTATGCATTCATCCGGTTTTGTGGCTTCCTGAAACACTTAACAATTGGACACAAAAGACACTGAAAGTCGTCATCTCTCCCAGCCAGCTTTCAAAGTGGCTGCTTTTCCTGCAGATGTTTCCCTCGCTCACCTTGACATGAGCTGAGCTATGGCTTTTATGGTTAGCCACTTTGGGGCTTTTTTTAGAGAGATAAAGTGGCATAGAAATAATAACAATAACAACAACAACAACAATAATATATAACATATTGTTGTTATTATTATTATTGATTTCTTTTGTTATTGTTTTGTTTGAAAATGGTTATGTAGCTAAACCCTCAAAGGTATTTCCTTTAATGCAGCACACAATCCTACACAATCCTACACAATCCTCTTGGTGTAGGAAAGCTGCAGCAAAGGAGATTTGAGAGGACATCATTTTTGCAAGACCTATTTTATTTATTCAAGCAGCCAGGCCTTGAAGCTACAAGGCTATTCAATACTAACCAAGGTAGTCAGTTGCAACATTCACACTTGCCACCAATTGAGTTCTTTCTCCCACCCTGGACATTTCACAGATATATAAACCCCACTTGCCTAGTTTCCAACAGATTCCTCAATAACAGATTTGGAATATGTGGAATGATTACGCAACGTCTTTGGACTATGATTATGAATGGCGTGATTTATATTGAGTGTAATGTTTTTAAATGTTTTAAATGCTTGATATATGTTAATTTAATTTTAAAGTTACTGGAATTATATGTGTTTTAAGGCATTGAATAATCGCCTATACAATAAGCCTCCTTGAGTAACTTTTGGGGTAGAGAAAGGCGAAGTATAAATAGGGTAAATAAATAAATAGAGTAAAAATGTTTTTCCCTTGGACTCAGCTCTCCTCGACCTCCCAGTCCAGCCGGCCAATGAAGTTATGGGCTTTAGCCACGGCTCTGCTTCGGCTGCCCAGCACCTGCCCTTCCGCTTCTATGACCAGGCCAGGCGAGGCGCCTGCGACCAGGCCGTCCAGCGCTCCGTCTTCGCTTCAGTGGACAAGGTCCCAGGTAAGGACTTTCTTCTCCATTACTTCTTGTGATTCTGGAGATAGCATCCCTTTTGACGCTTTGTATTCGGGGGTAACAGCAGTAGGAATACAGGCCGTTCCCAAGTTACAAACATCCGACTTATAAGCAACTCAGATCGGGACTGAGACAAGAGGAAGTGAGAGAAATCTCCCTCTCGGAAGGGAAATCCACTCCTGAAAGAGTTATTATTATAGGGGAAAGGGGTCTCCACTGAAGCTTTCTCCCCAATTCTTGTTTCCACCACAAGCCACATTTTCCAAAACCCAATTATCCAAGGGACAGAAAAGGAGGGGAAATCTTCTGAACATGGGCACAGACAGAAAAGGAAACTCCACAGAGGTGTTAACCCTTCCCTAGGCTGTCCAAACGATATATTTGACTGGAGGTACACTTAAATATGTCCCTGTTCTGACTTACATACATATTCAGCTTAAGAACAAACCTACAGAGCCTCATTTTGTTCATAACTTGGGGGATGCCTATATTTGGCATTCATTGCAGTATTCTGTATAACCGGTGCCATATGTGAGCTTACGGTAGGAAACGAGAGAGGAAATACACAGGATGCTCTCATGAGGGTATGCTTACTTGTATTGTTTTATTTATTTATTTATTTATTTATTTGATACACTTGTATACCGCTAATATCTCAGCCTAGAACGGCGACTCATTGCGGTTTACAGCAGTTAAAACAATCTACAATTTAAAAACATATACACATATAATAACAAATTCAATAACAAATTATTGGGCCACCAATAATAATCCCATATATCTCGAGTTGAAATCGCAATCCAGAATTCGTTGTCCATGTTTCCTGTCCTTAGTCATCAATATTCGAATTGCCACAGATTAGCCGAATGCTTGTTTGAACAGCCATGTTTTGAGTCTCTTCCTAAACACCATCAGCGAAGAGGCTGATCGTACCTCTATAGGGAGGGTGTTCCAAAGCCGGGGGGCCACCACAGAGAAGGCCCTATCTCTCGTTCCCGCCAGCCGCACTTCTGAAGCTGGAGGGATAGAGAGAAGGGACTCTCCGGAAGATCTTAGGGTCCTGGTGGGCTGATAGGCTGAGATACGTTCGGATAGATAAGTTGGGCCAGAACCGTTTAGGGCTTTATTGTGTTGTGTCTTGGATAAAAGAGTAGAGAAATGAAAGGAAAGCAGCCTCACTTTGGTAGGACTCTCAGGTCTGTCGGTAAGAGAGAATCCTCAAGCTGCTCCCTTCTCAAGCAAAAGGGCCCTAAAGCAAGCTAAAGAAGAAAGGCGAAGCCACCTTGTAATGCAAGCAGAAAGCAAAAATGCCTCTATCTGAAAAATTAGACAGCAGACCTGCATCACAGGGCTCCCTCTGTCCCCAGTTGTTCTCTCTATATATATATGCTAGTGTACTTTGCTCCCAAAAAAGAGCTGCATTGGCCTATGACAAAATATGACAAAAATCAAAGCCCATCAAGCAGTATTGAGCCAAGCAAAATGCTCAAAATCTATTTTTTTTAATACTGGTATCCAGATTTTGTTCATTTTCGTGGTTTCCTCCTTTCTGTTGAAATTGTCCACATGCTTGGGGATTTCAATGGCTTCTCTGTGTAGTCTGACATGGTGGTTGTTAGAGTGGTCCGTCATTTCTGTGTCCTCACATAATATGCTGTATCCGGGTTGGTTCATCAAGTACTCTGCTGTGACTGACTTGTTTGTTTATTTATTATTTGTTTACAGTATTTATATTCCACCCTTCTCACCCCGCAGGGGACTCAGGGCGGATTACAATGTACACATATATGGCAAACATTCAATGCCAAAGACACACAACAGCAATAGACGAACAGTCAGCGGCTATTTAACTTTTTCTGGCTGCCAGGTTGAATTTTCTTTTTGGTTGAATTAGTCTAGTTGAATTAGTCTGCAGTGCCTTTCATGTTCTGTGATTTGTATTTGAACAGTGCTGCATTGGGTGGTCCTTATGTAGGCTTGTCCACAGCTGCATTGAATATGGTAGAGGTGAGATAAATAAAGAACAGTAAATAAACAACAAGACTCAAAAACAGGGGAATTCCAGACAAGAAACAATCAGGGCCAGCAAATCCCAACAAAGGATTCCCCCAGGCAGGAAACAGACAGGCTTTGAAGCTGCAAGGCCATTAAATGCTAATCAAGGTGGCCAATTGCAACATTCATACCTGTCTCAAAGAGACAAGAGTTCTTTCTCCCACCCTGGACATTATTCACAGATATGTAATCCCCCCCCTTGCCTAATTTCCGACAGACCTCGCAACCTCTGAGGATGCTTGCCATAGATGTAGGCGAAACATCAGGAGAGGATGCTTCTGGAACATGACCATACAACCTTGAAAACTCACAGCAATCCAGTGATTTCGGCCATGAAAGCCTTCAACAACACATTATTAGTATTATATACTATATTGTACTATATCACTGTACTGCAATATTATTGGTAATATTGCATGTAATATATAATATACAATTATTATATTATCATACTGTACTATATTATTATACAACATGCTTCTGGAACATGGCCATACAGCACGGAAAACTCACAGTAATTCAAAATCTATTCTTTGGCACTCTTGGGGAGGATTTTGCATTTTGTTATGAGAGAAGGGGAGGAAGGAAAGAAACAGCCATGCAAAGGAAGTGCAATGCTAGGTATATATACTAGTATGTACTGTTCTGCCAAACAGATCACGTGACTCTGAGCTATAAGCCAATTTGTTGTTGTTGTTGTTGTTGTTGTTGTTTTCCCTGCCTTTGTTCCTTCACTGGTCAAAGGAGTGTGTCCTTTTCAGGTTCTTCGTATCCTTGAAGCTGCAGAAGTCGCTCCTTCCTTCTCCTTTAGCCGCCTTCCAGTTCAGATCCGCCTCATTTCAGAGCTTTGTGACTATTTATATGGGCTGTTTGCACTATTCTTAACCCTGGATATCAGGCTCTTGATATCTCAGCTCTTAACCGTGACCTTCTAAGGTTCCCTCAATGTTAAAGAGAGTGGACTAATTTAAGCCAGATCGGTACTGAAACAGAAGAGCGCTTAAATCAGATTCCTTTTATAAATTTCACCTTCCAATCGCAGTTTAGAGGAGGTCGTTTTAAACTTGGTGTTATTTGTTTTCATTGCAATGTGCATATCTGTAGAAGTCATGTCTTTCATATTTTCCCCAAATATGGGATCTTTCTGAGGCTGGCATCTACTTCTAGGGAGATACGAAAATGTCACCATCTCTTCTTTCCCTCGTTTCTCCCTCCTTCTTTCCTTCCTTCCTTCCTTCCTTCCTTCCTTCCTTCCTTCCTTCCTTCCTTCCTTCCTTCCTTTCTTCTTTGGTTCGGCTCCCTTTTAGTTTTGTTTGGTGAACAAATGAAATATTGATTTAAATGCTCCTATATGAATTGATCAAGTTGGTTCTTCATTTAAACATTTAAGTTTCCATTTACGTTTCTAGCAGGTTTCCATCTACATTGCTATTTGCTTTGGAGTTTGAACGTGGGACTGTTAGGCTGAGCTGACAATTTAATATTAATGTAGTTGTTCCTTAAAAGAATTGTATTATGCTGGATAATGCAAAGCTAACCCCAAAACACTCGTCAATCCATAAAATAAGGATGTGTACCACAAACCTGTTTCCTGCTGCTCTAGAGACTGGGACACAATGGAGCTCAGGGTTTGAATTCCACCTAAACATGAGGGTCAGAGCTGTTCAGCAGTGGAATATATTGCCCTGGAGGTTTTTAAGAGTCTGAATGGCCATCTGTGGGGAGGGATCGAAAGGTGCCTTCCTGCATAGAAAACTGGGGTTGGATTGGATGACCCTTAGGGTCCCTTAGGGTTCTTCTATTGTTGCTGCTGCTGCTGCTGTTACTACTGTTCTTAAGCAGAGGCAGGATAGCCATCTGTCAGAAGGGATTGGATGGTGACTTTCTGCCTTCTAGAAGGGGTCTGGACTGGATTTCCTTTAGGTATTCCTTCCAACTCTAAAATTCTATGTTGTTGTTGTTGCTGCTGCTGCTATAAAGCAGAGGCTGGGTGTCCATCTACTGGGAGGGATCGAATTATGTCTTCCTGCATGGTAGAATGAGATGTTCCTTGGGATCCCTTATAATTCAAGGATTCTGTGGTTCTATATTATTATTATTATTAAGCAGAGGTCTGATGGCTATTTGTCAGAAGGGTTTGGATGCTGCCTTCCTATATGTTAGAACGGGGTTGGACTGGATGACCTTTGGCAACTCTTCCAACTTCAGGATTGTCTGGTTCTATATATTATGATTATGATTACTAAGCAGAGGCTGGATGGACATCTGTTGGGAGGGATCAGATGGTGGCTTCGCCTATGGCAGAATGGGATTGGATTGGATGACCCTTGGGGACCCCTCAACTTTAGGATTCTATGGTTTTATATTATGATTATTATTATTATTAAGCAGAGATCGGATAGCCATCTGTCTGGAGGAAACGGATGGTGCCTTCCTTTATGGCAGAATGAGATTGGACTGGGTGGCCCTTGGGATCCCTTCCAACTCTAGGACTGAAAGGGATCCCAACCATAGGTTCAAGTATATTACTATTATCATCATGATCATCATTACTATTAAGCAGAAACTGGATGGCCATCTATTGGGAGGGATCAGATTTTGACTTCCTTTATGTCAGAAGGGGGTTGGATTGATTGGCCCTTGGATTTGCTTACAATTCAAAGATTCTATCCTTTATTATTATTATTATTATTATTGCTGCTGCTACTATTAAGCAGAGAGTGGAAGTTTCTAAGCAGATTCCAGATGGCCATCTGCTGGGGGGTATTAAATTGTGTCTTCCTTTATGACAGAATGGTGTTTTACTTGGGGGTCTCTTCTGACTCTAGGATTCAAGGATATATCTATCATAGATATCTCGCAATCATTATCTCACCCAATCATATATATGGCTGGATGGCCGTCTGTCAGGAGGGATTGGATGGCTTCTT